GTTTATACAAAAGAAGGGAGTGAATAACATTATCAAATGCCTTTGCAAAATCAACAAAACATGTATATAATTTAGCTCCCTTGCTGAAAAAATTATCTATCAATGTTTTAACTACAAACATGTGATCAGATGTTCTGGAATTGGGTTGAAACCCAATCTGTGCTTCATTAATATTACCATTATCTATAAATTTTTTAATCTATTATTCATTATACAATTAAATACCTTTGATAGACATGGCATAACAGATATACCCCTATAGCAGTTGGGGTCATTAGTATCACCAGCTTTATGAATTGCTTTAATATAACCAACTTTCCATGAAGACGGATAAACACCGCTTGAAAGTATACAAATAAACATTTTTTTAAAACTTGACAAAAGAAAACTTTGGCTAGCTTTAATCATTTCATTAGTAATGGAGTCAAGACCAGCAGATTTTTTGTTTTTCAATGAAGAAATGGCTTTGGATATTTCTTTTTCAGAAATTGCAAAATCTAGCTCATTGAAGGTTTTCATTTTTTCAACAATTTGTAGTAAATCAGCATATTTCTTGTCAATATGTTCAAACTCCTTCTTTACACAAAAAAGATTTGTAAAATGTTTTATCCATCCGTCTGCCGATATCTTATTAGCAGGATCATTTGCCTTCCTCCTTAAGATCTTTAACTAATTCCCAATATTCAGATGGATTATTATCTAACATACTATAATACATACATGTATAATATGACGTGTGGACATCGATGATGTCATTTGCAATATAAATTATGACGTCACTTCATTTAGTTGGTGCTTAACTATTAGCTATCTAATTTATTCGTAATTGAATAGAAAAAATAAATAAATAAATATCGCATCTTGATTCAAGACTTAAGATATAATTGTAAAATTTACATGCTGATAAAATGATCTAATATAAGTAGTTGAAAAAAGTCCGTTAAAATGGGCGGGCTTATTTTTTATATCAGGTTACTGACATGATATCAAAAATAATTATCAGGCAAGTGTTATCGGGCGGTTACCATAGCAGTTGCATGATAAATAATAAGACAAGTCAATAATATAGATGGACCAGAAAATATCTATATTAAGAAAAAAAGGTTTATATTTAAATTAAACACATTTTTATTGATATATTGTGCTATATGAAGTTTGCTTGTTTTTAACAAAATATATGATAGTTTCAAATTTAAAAACGTTATATATATGCAATATCTAATGTTTTAACTATGAACTGAAAATTAGTCTCTAACGCCGCATAACAACGCTCTTGATAAATGTTGTCAAAATTTTATCTGGTGATTTAGAATTTTACATGCCTTTATTTATTACTTGGTGTAATGGTCATTGATTTCGAATATATTATGTCACTCGAGGATTCAGTTTTCGTGTTCGCTGTTGTGCGTTGACATAAAATGTATCAAAATATACATCTCTAAGAGTGCATTTAAAACTTTGTTAAGTGGAAATTTAATTTAGGTCCAGTCTTGATGAAACTTTATGGAAATAACTTCGAATGTGCTTTAAATGTGTCTGACAAGTCTCAATCAAACTATGCATTTTTGCAGTTTTGGACGTCCTTAGAGTTTCTTTTCTCGATTCTATACTGCTGACGAGGTCATATATTATCACCAACATCGTGACAGTTAATGCTAATAGAGAGTTAAATATGAGCGTTTATCGTGTACACATAATTATGTGCTATCAAAACATTAAACAAATTGCGTACTTAATTGTGTCGAACATAAATTAACGGAAGCCATTTAAATGCTATTGAGACTTTCGAAACACATGCTATATGTCTGTCATTTCAAATATATTATGGATTGTTTACTAACTTTATTTCATGGCGATTTACTATGGTTTTGATGTTTGCTTTATATTTTTTATGCATGCAGGCTGTCGGAATTAAGCATATTGGCACAATATTCTGTTTTACTACTAGTGCCAGCGCGTTTTCTCTAAGAACGGAAAGCGCGAAAAATGCCAGTACGATGGTGAGAATACGACAGGTCGATGGTGACAATACGACAGTACGATGGAGAAAGACGACAGCACGATGGTGACAGTCCATTGTACTATCGTATTGCCACAATCGTAGTGTCATAATTTCACCATTGTAGTGTCGCCTTTCTGTCAAGCATGCGCAAACATTTCATTCAACATGACTTGCGAAACTTGGAAATTACACCGGCGTGCTTTACTCTATCAAATATCAACTATCAAGAAAATCGAAAGTTAACAGAACCAAAATCTATCTACATAAATAGGGAGCTTTATGTTAAAAATGTACACGTGTGTCTTCATAATTTGTATTTAAACAGATAGGCATAACTTTGAATTTTTGTATTTGACTTAATGTAAAATATATAATTTTCTTAAAAGGCCTTGATTATTTTTATAAACTTTAATTCAATTTCAAACTACTCGTATCAATACAAGACTTAACGTGTATGTTAGGCAATTATTAAAATGAGACTTTATGATACGGTCAACGTTTTCTTCCGTGATTTTATTTCACTATGTACATGCCTTACAGGAAGGCGACAGTACGATGGTGACAGTACAACGGTACTATGATGACAGTATGATGGTGACAGTACGACAGTACGATGGTGACAATACAACAGTACGGCTGACTGTCACCATTGTGCTGTCTGCTTCGCATTGTTCTGTTGTATTATCATCATCGTACTGTCACCATCGCACCGACATGTTTCGCGCTTTTCGGTCTCACAGAAAACGCACTGGCCCTAACGGAACACCATATATTTGCCTGAACGTCTGTGCAGGTCCGGTTGTTGCATCTTATCAGCGGTGTTTTTTTTTTTTTCAAAATGAGTATTCCTGTAGCACAATCTTCGATCAATGGTAGAAAAGAGTCGATATTCCTTCCAAGGCATTGCTGTTAACTATGAAAAAAAGCTATTGTAGGCGTCATCTTTTCGAGTTATTCACAACAGCTCATCCAAGTACCTCTGGTATTTAAGGTGATTTGACTCATGGAATAACACTAACGTGCCACTTTTAACATTCCATGACAACCACTGTATGGACACATCTGGGGATGTTTTAAATTCAAAATTTCACCATTTCATGATTTGATATTTAATTCTGCTTAAGCTGGTGCTAGGGGCGCGAATGGTAGCTTGCACTAACAGTACCGTCCATGAACAGGCTCAGTTAAACCGAGCCTGCAACATTTTCAGTTTTTACGGTTTGGACGTTTTTAAGGGATTCTTTTTTTCTTTTTTATTTGACTTATTGATCACCTTCTGCGAGACGAGCACAACTAGGAAGGGGAAGGGGCGTTAGAAAAGACTTTTTACGATTAACAATTGAGCTCTTGAAATACTGAGTTGGACAATTTACTTCGAATTAACAACAGATCCGATATATTTTCTTAACGACGACGACATCATGATGTTAACTCGACCAGATAGACATGTTGGTTTGCTTTTTCGGCGTTCAGCGTGTCGCTCTCGGCACAAAGTAATTCGTACATCAAAACAATTCTGGTACATTTATCAGAGGCGGGGAAATCTGACTCGCCAATGGAAAAAAAGTCCCAAGTCACTTCATAAGGCTTAGACCCGGTTGGTAGGCGTACACCGCTAGTAACTGCGTAAAATGAGTAACACGTAAAACACCGTCTCATACCGACCTTAAAGTACAAAATGTTTACCTGCTTCGTGACCGCATTAGCGAGTGACAAAGCATTACGTTGCACGATAACGGATTTTCAGACACTTAAAATATTGAATGCTCTGTCAAATTAAATATTTGTTAAATTCATAAGATGTTAACCACTTAGACGTATGGTATTAATTTTATCAGTGCAACAAAATGTCCTCAATTTTAAAAGATAGCAAACATGAACGTATTACTGAAAATTGTCTTTTATCGTTTGCGACATCCTTGTCAGATGTCATGTCAGAACGATTCAACAGCATGTGATGTTTATTACATGATTAAATGTGAAATATAAATGGAAAAATAGAGTAAAAGGGCAGGTATATAGCTTTTTTTCAGATAAATCTCTATATTTAGTACAACAGGTATTCCATGACTTAGTGGATTTCTGTCGTAACAAACAAACATGTTTTAAAGGACAAACAAATAGATAAGAAAAAAACAACAACAAAAAACAAACAAACATTTAAGTATTATTTACACAAAATATTACAGCAAAATGTTATCCCTTTATCGAAAATTCATGACATTATAAATGTTCACACGGACGTATAATTGGCCATACATGTATTTGAATTGTGCAATATAGTAACATATCATCAAAGAGTGTATGGTAGTAATAAATCCCATTGAACGTATAATTTACATAAATAATTGTATCACATCCCCGTGCCGATTTTGCGACTCTGTAAATACGGTATTGCACGGCCGTGCATATATTATGACGTGACGTAATTTGCGTCATACAAATATAGTGTGGATACGCGCGAAATGTTAGCGTTAGACTATAGGCCTGTTAATGAAAAAATAATTAGTTTTCACTTTAAACAGTCTTTATTTTGGGTATATTTTAAATAGAATATTGTATTCGTGTAGGTTCATTATTAGAATTTTTTGAACTCGTTCAAATAAATCAATATTATGCTCAACTTTCTGAAACCAAGAGTGGTTAGGCTTTGCAACCAGTATACAACAAGCCAACCATCCATGCAGTCCGTGAACGCTCTATTTTCTTGGCAGCAGTATTTATTGTATCTCATAAATGAACTCACTTAATATTCAAATCCGGTCTGGGCATATTCAGCAGGAGTAATGTGAGTTCAAAGGATCAGGAAGAAAATGTGTTTAAATTATTTTCAAATTGATTGCTGTTGATCTACACGTGTAGTCTAGTGGATATGGTAGCTGGTGAAGAGATAAAAAATGAGCCGTGTCACGACAAAACCAACATAGTGCGTTTGCGACCAGCATGGATCCAGACCAGCCTGCGCATCCGCGCAGTCTGATCATGATTCATGCTGTTCGCTATCAGTTTCTCTACTTGTTATAGAGTTGGTAAGCGAACAGCATGGATCCTGATCAGACTGCGCGGATGCGCAGGCTGGTCTGGATCCATGCTGGTCGCAAACGCAGTATGATGGTTTTGTCGTGACGCGGCTCAAATATATTCATACGCAATTTATTAATCGAACAGATGAGTAACCAAGCAAGTCGATGTTGCTAACCTGTCCGCGAGAGATTAATTTACTTCCTGGTTGAAAATTATGCGTTACTTAACATTGTTAATCATTCAAAGTGTTTTATTACTTTTGATATATAGGATATATTAATTTACAAATTGATTTTAATCTAAATTTGGGATTCTTTGGTGATTATTCTCAGGTTTGTTGACATTTGTAATTAATTTTTTCTTCATATACCTGGTCAGTAAAAAGCTTAGGTATATTTGTCTAATACTCTTTTTATTTAAAGTTCTAACAAACAGTTTGAATAACATTTTTTTTCACTAGTATACATGTATAGGGACTTACTTTATATCCATTGCGCACTTAGCATATTTTAAATCTTTAAAATGACAGGTGATAAGCAAATCAAAATGTAGTTAGGATCGGAAAGGTTATAAAAAGGAATTCGTCAGGATTTTAAGTGGGGAACTCGACTGATTTTATGCCGAAAACTTTCATTTTTTGCCTCTTTCCATTATTCGAAAAAGTTTCACTTTTAGTCGCCATTATACCTTAATACCACAAGATGATTATATATATATATATTACAGTTTATTTGGAAGATGCAAAATAAAAAGGGAGATAACTAAAACGTACGAATATTTCAGACGGTTTAATGTTGGTAGGTGGGTAACAGGGCGTAAAACACGCAATAAAATCTTAAATAAAGTTCGCTTCAATTTCGTCGACTGAATAGTTAACATAAATAAAATATTTCAGGTGGAACATTATACTTTTAGTATTTATAATTATCAGTCTTTATAACAAGTCCACGTACATTCAATAGTGTACATTTACCCCCGTTTAAACAAATGCCATAGCGTGGTCAGATTTATGAAGCGGTAATCTCCATAGTTGATATACATTTACATTCAAGTATCCAATGTCATTTTAAAGTAAAGACTGAAGATAATAAGCAATTATAAATGTTTGTAGAGCGGGTTTTTTGCAAATATTTGAACTTAAATATTTACAAATGAAAACATGAAAAGTATAATGCTAGCAATGCCGTAGGGTTTTAAATTCCCATTAACCCTAAAAAATCATGTTTTAAAGAAATATAATTTTTTGGTTGTCTTGTTACAGTTGCGCTTTGGCAATTAATACAGATAAAATGGTTAAGTATTTTGTATGGAAGTAACATTACTTTATTGCCTATGATTCTTCAATGTTGTTGCATAGTTAATGCCATTTGAAAATGTACCTGTATATTATACGACACTTTATTACTAACGAATGCTCATTTTGATGATAACACATAATGTTTTATATGTATTCGTATCTTATGACAATGTTAATTTTATACTCGTCTTAAATAAATAAAATCATCTATCTACCAAGCTTAATGTAGTCTTAACAGCGTCTATAACTTTATATGTAAAAACAAAGAATACTCTTAATTTTTATTTAGTTAATACATTAACAACCCAGTTACACAGAGGCATTGTTGATTGATCGGTAGTTTTTGGAGTGGTAACACCGATATCCCATTTTGTCACCCCTTATCAGCTACTATCAGTTTTTTTCTTTTCGATGAAAAATTACCGATTCGGACTTTTAAACAGGCTTAAAATTCTTGATCGGTGAAAATATACTACCAATTACCGATAGCCTGTCAACACAAAATATTACCAATTGGACATTGTCCCAAAAGTCTAAATGTATAAGTTAAATAAAATTTTAAAAATATAAAGGTGTTTTAACGCGAATAAGGGCGTTCTTTTTTTATTCTTACACGACATCAACAACGGTTCCGTCCCTGCTAAAATGTGCTTGATTTGTTTCCGTACGTATTTTCAACGTACTGCATTTTTAGTGGCTACTTTAGATCGTCAACAGTGATTTTATTTTTTATTTACACACACTCACTTTCGGTCCGTCTATGTCCAAAATGTGTTAGAATGTGCGTTTCAACACCTTTTATTTCACGTCAGGACACCTTTTGTTTTGAGTTATATCTCATTGATTCACGTTATTTGCATTATTTTATTTCATTTGACTATAAGACTTTAGCAAACAACAGAACATGTATTTCTAAACACAATCAGAAAAAACAATATTTAAAATACGGGATTCTGTCGGTTTTGAGCAGATTGGTTGATTTAAATTATCCTACTACCGATGTTCATATTCAAAGGAAACTGTAATGAAACAACGCGTGACAATTGATCAAAACATTCAATGAATAGAAATGAAATGACCGATTGAGGACGGGCCGTTTGTGCAAATGGGGTGTTAGATACCTACATATATATATTCTTTCTGTTCCCACATAACACCGACACCGTACACATCAACGGAATCTTGACTATTATGTTCATTTTGATCAATCTAATATTTTACTTCCTACAGCAAAATAATCAAATAAATTTTGACCTTGTGTTTGTAAATTAAAGTCCCAGGTAAGACACAAATTATTTCATGACCAATTGGCGGAAGGCCATTACATGTATTTCATCAGCTGCTCGTTATCTCAAACCAAATAGCAAAACAAAACATTAAAAAAATAACTGAAAAAAAACAAAAACAAACAAATACGTACGTTTCTTTACAAAAACGGCGAATGGACTATGACAAGCGTATATGTATAATAAGTATTACAGTATAACTTTTGAAAACTGGGCCCGTTCCTGGACAGGAGCAAAAGCTCGGTTTGTAGAGGATTCCGGTTTTCAGAGGTTTTATTAAGAGTTATTCATGTGTTATTTAGCTTTAAATCGAAAATTACATTTATCTTACACAATTCATATTTTCTTTAAATTAAACACAACTATGTAACAGATATCTTTTTTTTTTATCTATTTAACTACATAATGATACAAAAATATTTAATTTCCTTTCATAAATGAAGTAAGGTTAAATACCCTTCTTTTATACATTTAAATTTGTTACAGAAGACAGATCATGATGGCCGACAATAGCGGAAATGGTATGTTTTTATCTGTTACTTCACATTGATATCCATAAAGATATGCATTTGTTATTTATTGGAGACAATTTGTTGTAGTGTAAGTGGTGATATAGATGATGATGATGGCGATGATGATGAAAATAGCGATGATAAGAAAAAAGATTGTAATGACAAAGATGATAATGATCAAGATGAAGAAGATAATGATGATAGCGATGATAAGGATGAATATTGAGATGTTAATGGTGATAATGATGACTATCAAGGATGAATATTGTGATGATGACGATGATAGCGATGATAAGGATGAATATTGTTATGATGATGATGATGGTGATAGCGATGATAAGGATGAATATTGTGATGATGATGATGGTGATAGCGATGATAAGGATAAATATTGAGATGATAATGGTGAAAATGATGACTATAAATGATGGGTATTGTGATGATGATGATGATGATGGTGATAGCGATGATAAGGATGCATACTGTTATAATGATGATACAAGCTTATGATAACAAATGATGATGATGATGACTATGCTACAGCTGGTGATGCTCAGCAATATTGATGTACATGGTAATGAAAAAAATGTATGCTCTCAATAATGGCCGATGTACGGTTTCTTTACGAGTAAGAAGATTATGACGACGATGATAATGGTGAAGATTATAATGATATCTGTGATGATAGTGTAATGAAAAAGATGATGATAATGATGGTTGCGGTAATGATAATTATGATGTAGGTGGTAATGTTAATGATGATAATGATGGTGATGGTCATGATGATGATGATGATGATGATGATGATGACAATTATTATTATTATAATGATTATGGCAATCTTAGCAATGTTGACTGACATTCAAATTCAATGCATTTTGTTTCAAATAGATATCAAGAATGAAGATCAGCATGAAAATAATTCAGCAGCAAGACTAAATGACGTTGTTTTAACTGGTAAGATTCTTTTTAATTGACACTATGTATAAATATAGTGTGTGGAGTTTAAAGTAAATTGGTCTATAATGGAAAGTCTGATGTACAATAAATAACTAAGTTGATATTATTTAGTATCAGAAAATAACAACAAACGAAATAATTATAATTATATGGGTGTTGTTGGCAAGTATATGATACACGATTTGACTAAGCACTATAGTATCAATTTTAAAGTTACTGTAATATTTTTATTAACATTTGAAATACTGATGGAAACTATGCTCCCTGTAGACCGATTCACTTTTAAACGTGACGTGCAGAAAATGTTTATTTTACATTTAAATAGAAACTGTATATCAATTATCAGTTCTTTAAAATACTTTGATCAATTCTGAGCATTGGATATCGATAAGCATATAAAATAATGATTATGTTAAAAAACTACGAAAATTCATTTTCTGTAATTATAATACTTAAAATTCGACTAGATTGATTACAAAGAATATTTCAAAATAATTGTAAGGCTACACAACTTAAATTAAATATTTTTGAAATAGTCCAGTTTGTAAAATGTTCACTTCTTCCTCATTGAGTTCATTCTCTTCCCCAAGTACAGACTTCCTGTCACGTAATTTGTTTATAATGAAGGTTTCTTTGTAACGATAAAGAAATTAGTCCGTTAATTATAACAGCTTTATTGATAAACATTTGTTAAGGTTCTAGATCCATCAATAACTCGTAAAAGTTCGGTAACTTGCGTCCTTTTGCGTATCTTATTTTATCTAAACTTTTAAAGACATTCATTTGACAATAGATGATAGACGCACCTGTTTGTCAAGCGTTAACATCTGCAGAAGAACAAGAACGCACTTAAAGCACGAGTCCGTATGGGCAAGGATTAAACATGTCTGAGGGCTTTGATAAAAATAATTCTGCAATCATACAGACAAATGAGTCTCGTCACTTGCTTTTAATGTGGTATTGTATTTTATATTTAATAATGAAAAGCGGGCTATGATTGCAGTTACCTGCTTTAATGTGATGTCACAAGTCACGCTCATAAAACAATGCAATGACAGCTCATGCATGTCTGATCTTAACCTTTAAAGCTACATGCCAAACTAATTCAATAAAATCAAACTTCAAAAAAAAAAAAAAAAAAAAATATTACTTAGACTTTAGGAATGTAAAATATTAAAGATTCAATTAATAATTGCCATGTTATACGTGGTTAATGACTTATTGTTTGAAAATATTATGACTATATCTCTAATGCGTGACTAACGAAAAAAGAGCGTTTTTGCACATTTTTACATCATTTTAGTAATTTACGTGAGTTGTAAGTGCAAATAGATAGGTGTAAAATGGTTCCTTTTGGTCTCTTCACTTCATTATACGTTTACACATATTTTATTTTTTTTTATAAACATTAGCATAAATCTGGAGGCATGCTGCTTTTATTCTTGTTTACTTTCCCGATAGTGTAGTTATCTGTGTGCAACTTTTATGCAAAACTTTATTTTCGTTCTGCTCCGAGGAAAACAGACGCTTATTTCCTTTTATGTGGCACGGTGTTTCCCTGGGCATATATGATGGACCGGATACCTTAAGATAGGCGTGTTATCAAGATTTGAAAAAAAAAGTATTTATTAAAGTGAAACAGAGAAGCTTTTCTTTCTAACTAGGATGTTAATGAAAAAGCTTTTCTATCAATCTATGAAAGTGAAATTGAAAGTTAAAATTGCTGGAATATATATTTCATAATATCCTCATGTAATCATAGCGGAAAATGGAATTAGGAAGTAACGGTAAGCTAGTGCAAGATTTTTGTAAGTTTTTTTAATAAACATACAAATTTACTGACACGGAACATATTATCAAATAATCAAAGAACAATTTTGAATTTGCAGTGATGATAAACGTTTAAAATAAGAAATATTCTCAAGACAGCTTTTTGTCAATTTGAAATGAAGCAAACCAGCAATGTATCAGGCGAAGGTATTCAATCAATTCTTTTAAAATTTCTTCATTATCTTAGAAGCATTGGATTAATAAGCATTTAAAAACACCAACGCGAGAAGAGCATTTTCTGCCTCTACTACACTTAAATACGATTTACAGTCACCGTGATTACATTTGTATTTCGATCTCCTTACATACTTTTTGCCCCCTAATAGTAACTAATTTCAAAGGGGACAGCAATGCAATCTTAACAATAAAGCTATTGTAGTACCGATTTATAGATGTGTATTTTTACGTTTAGTACGCTAAGGAAGTACTAACAAAAATGTTTAAGCAATTAGATAAAAGTAAAATTTGCTATATCAGTTTGTAACAAAGAGTTGCCGCCCTATTATCAGCTAACAAGAACGCTTACTCTTACACACAGAATTTAATTTACACAATGAATTTTTGTTCACAGTTAGGAAAGACAGACAGGATAGTAACAAAGTCGCTGATTACGAGGATGAAGCAAAGAGACTTCGTAAACTGTTGAGGCTTTACTTCTATTCGGCATTCAAATTTAAGGGGAACATATGCAACTTCCATTTTATTTACTGTTTCGTCTTCCTGATGCAAATCATAAAAGTAGCTCTACTTACAAGTCAGGTTTGATACTTGAAACTATTTTGCTCTATTTTTTATTGGTTTACTAGTCAGAGGTTTCATAATTTTATAATCAAAATAAGAATCTAAAATACTTTCAATTGATAAATCTTACAATGTTTAAAGATTCAAATACAAATGAGATATTTTCTACTGTAGTTATGATTCATGCTTAATCGAGCACATAAATTAAACAACCAGTTGTATAATCTTATACATGAAAAAACTATTATAGTCCTGCCAGACATCAAGCTCATATCAACTAAATACGATTTTTTTTATTTATTAGTCAGCGGTCATTGCGATCCATCCTACTGTGTAGGCCCACTGTTTTACTCTCACTTGATTCTTCATGTACATTTTGACTAATTTTTGCTCTACTTTTTACAATTCAGATGTTCCAGTTTGGAAATGACCGAGGAAACTTTAGTTCCGTTGTCAACAGAGGCCATCTTGTCCTTCGACATCTTCTTTTAGAACATTGGGATGCTAGTAATGCATTTTCTTGATTCATATGATTTTTCTTGTGCGCATGCGCAACTTCTAGGTTTACAGTAGTTCGGATATAATTCATATTATTTAAGTTCAATACATAAAACAGATATCTTAATTATTCTTTGAGCAATTAGTTTTTCTAAAAAGTAATAAGTAATGTTTCACTGTGATAGGCAGCACAATATCATTGCTCACTAGTTTGATTGACTATTCATTGTACAGGTTGGGAAACGCTGCCATATCCTCCTGCACAAGGTGACTTTGCCGTGTATAATATTGATGATCTCGAGAGTGGTATTAACTATGCTGTTAAAAACGTAAGTGAATTTGCCTTTACCCTGATGAAACCAAATGTGATAAGCCCATTGCCACCACTATAGAGCCTGACCAATTTCCGTCAAGTCCACTAATTGCCGAAAACCACGTTCTTAAAAATATTAATGAGCACTTCAAAAAGTCGGAAGCTGAGCAAGACTACTTAAAATTTCCGCAGATTAAGGACTAAAAATATTTCGAAACACTTCTATGATACAGTTTCTCAGATTTAGAATTGTTTGTTTTCTTTGTCAAAATGAAAATATCGAATCGGCCAGTTTATTTCCTGTACATGTCAGCGTCCGCTTTTTTCCGTTTTAAAAATGTATCAAAATTACATTAAAACCTAATAAAGCTTAGCCAATAAGGATTTATTTCAAAACATTTGAAGGAATCTGAAATACGGAAGTACTACTTGTGATGAAGGCGACTTCTGTTTGCGGTTTGCAATAAAAACAACAACAACCTTAAATAACAATTGTACTCATAACATAGTATTTACTTCCTTGAATTGATAGTCCCGAAACTGAAAATGAGAGAATATTAAAGTACAGCCAGTCAGGAAGTTAGCTGTTCAAATAACTTGACATAGATTTAAACTTGGATGGTAATGTTTTATTTTTAGAATATGAATATAAATTGATACAATTAATACGTTGTTACACACAAAAAAGTGATACTAAGTATTTTTTTTATTCGCTGATCGATTTTTAGTTTTTTAAAATCAAAACCAAAGTGCTTGTTTTAATACTTTTAACGTGTTTTTTCACATTTAATAGTTTCAATTTTAAAACATCTTAATAATATTAAAATTTTTTTTTTTGCTTTCAGTTTTTTTTCTTTTCTTTATTCCACCACTTTTAAATAGCTGTATATGTAAAAGCGAATGAACTATGCTACAATGTACTTATAATAAACGAATATCAGTCTTATTAATGTACTTACAAAACAACAAACAATAAAAACAAAACAACGAAAAAAAATGTATTGTAAGTGTATCAAAATACATGTATAATGACACACACATATATATAATTGTATTAACTTCCTGTTTCTATTAGTCTAAGCAACCAATTCATGTTGCTTAAGGAAAAGCGCTTTTAATCCGTTTCATCAAAATTAATAACACATTTGCGATGTATTTTATTGCAAAAGGTAATGTTCGAGGCTTATAGCTATCTAAATTTGGTAATCTAAATTTCCTAAGAAATATGATAAATTAATGTTTAGTTTTTTCTATCAAAAATTATTGGAAAAACTCGCGCCCAAACAAATAATAATATCTGAAATAGTAAAATAGATATCATATTTGCTCTTTTAGCGGGAAAAAGATCTAATGCACCCTTTTGGCCCCGACAAAATTTTAAAAACGAAAATTTACATACAAAGCGGCACATTATGGAATTTCATTTCCAACCCGACCCTAAAATAAAAAAATAAATTTTCATCTTTTTGGGGGTTTAAAAAAAAATTTTTAAAAAAAACAAACTTTAAGCTCTAAAAATTTTAACTAAAAACATTTTAAAAATTTAAAAGTTCTTTTTGGGTTTTTTTTATTTCGTTTAAAATTTGGTTTATTTATTGATGTGCATAAACGAAGGGTTAAG